TTTATTTATGCTCGAAGGGTTGAGGCCATATGGGATTAGTATTATTCTTGTGTTTCACTTTGCATGCTTTGACTTCCAGAATAATTGAGTTTATTAAGAATAATCGAATTATTCAAACGGGCCACAGTCGTTCATATGTTGGAAGTAGATATGAATGAAGACTGTCATGAATTGGTGTGTGGATTGTCTAAAAGAGTATTAGATATAAGCAAATGTTTGCTGCAACATTCATGAGTGCTTATGAATATGAATTTGAGCATTGGATTAAACCCACGCTCACTTGGATCACTCCATGAATTGTATCACGAGTGATTGGTGAGACGATAACATCTTATATTCTTGAAGCCGAGATGTGTGAGTTGTATCTTGCTAATCGGTTGCACATTGATAATATGTAAACGCACTAGTAACTTGGTGTTATAAAACATATTGTTGTGTGTGATTTGGTTAGTGAGTGCAAGCAAGCATTGTATCAAAGTTTATCCGTTCCTTTTATCCAAAGTAGGATAAAAGCGATATCTTTTGGGTCCCTCGATGGTTTAGTGATGACAAACGTAAATGCTCGGCCGGGCTAGGGCTAATTTGATTTGCTCAATTAGTCAGTCGTCATAAATCGGAAATCGAGAAATAGTACAAAGAGAATGATTAGAAATCATGTCTCATATGATATCTAGAATGGAGGAATATATGATCCTTTATCTGAGGACACGCGCATCTGATAGGATCAGAGTTGACAGCGGCTTTGGAAAGCTATGATTGCATATCAGGATCTGAAGTCATACGCAGAATAGTTATTAGACTTATCCAAGTGGGAGATTGTTGGATTAGTGTCTAAGTCCATAACTATTTTGGTATGTACTTGACCCGATGGTGCATGGTCCTTTTGGGTTGCCTTCACCAAAGCAACTTGATAGGATGAATTATGGAGAGAAAGGATTAAATATGATTTATTAATATATTATGAGAATAATATATTAAAGGAGAAATCATATTGTTTAATTAATATTAGTCAATAATTAATTGGTAATTAGTTTTGTGACTAAAAGAGATTAATTAAACTTAAGGGACTGGAATTGTAATTATAAGATAATTATAATTTGGGCCATGGATTGCCTTATATTAAGGGGTGGACGAATTCTATGGGGGAAGCCCATATGAAATCGTCCAAGGCTTAAAGAAAAATGCTCCATGGGTTGCTTCTGGCTTAAGCATCCAAATTAGGGTTTCCTTGTTAGATAACCCTAATAGCCTTACTATATATAAGACCCTTATGACCCAAAAACGTGGCTAATGATCTTTCTAGGGGTTTCACACGTTTTTGGGCAGCCTCCAACCTCTCTCCTCTTCATCCTCTTGCTTATGGTGTTTGTAAACCATTAGAGGAGTGACACTTGTGACTTTAAGCCTTCCAAAGTCAATACAAGGAGATTTGGGATTGTTATTGTTACATAACAATCAAGGTAACATTATAAACCTATTCTCATGTTAATATGATTATTTGAATGCTAAAATTAGGGTTTATAGTCTTGGATAACTTGCATATACAATAGAGAAACCTAGATCCAAGCTTTAGGGTTTGTATGAGCACATAGGATGTCTTATGACCAAAACCCATCAATTCTGGACTCAAAAATCGGTCCAAGCCCAATACTGTAACCCAATGGTATATATATGAGTCTCACACACAAAAAATTTGGAATACGTGTACCAGAATTAGCAAAACCGAAGCACGATCTACCCGTATTCCAGACCAAATTTTCAACATGGATTCATCAAACAAAGTAAGCTGTACACTTTTAAGTTACTTTGCATTTGATTTTTTGAAACAATTTACGTATTCCAGAATGGTCCAAAACTTGAGGAACAACTCTGGAATATCCGAATTATCCTTTTTATATTTTTTTTCTCGTTGTACGTGTATGAATGTTATGTAAGTACTTTGTAATGTGTTTTTGATCAGTTGTTTTAGTCCAAAATTAGGTATTGTAGGGGTTCTAAAATGGTAATGTAGGTCCAAAACACGAAGAACGTTGTCCAGAACCTGATGATATATTCTGAAATGATGATTCAAAATACTTATCGCTAGAGTTGCATCGCATCTACTAGAGATTCCACACTATCTTGTTTTTTTATATGATTTTACTATTATATTTAATTGAGAAATCTCCAGAAAAGTCCCAATATTTTCAGAAAACTTACACTTTAGTCTCAAGATTTTTTTTGAATGAAAAAGTCCTAAAAACCGGAAAAATTTTGTATTTTGACCATTTTTGACCGGTACCAAATTAATTTGGAACTATTTCGTAAACTAACCCAAAATATTTGGGCTTTTCTAACAAAAATATTAGGACTTTTCTAATAAAAATATTATGACTTTTCTGCAAACAAAACCGTTATTATTATTATTATTATTATTATTATTATTATTATTATTATTATTATTATTATCATTATTATTGCTGATGCTGTTGTTGTTGTTATTATTATTATTATTACTATTATTATTATTAAAAGTATAAATAATAATACTATTTTTTGAACTTGTATTATTTATATTGTTAATAATACATATAAGTGCATTTAAATGAAAAAAAATAATAATATTAATGATATTGTTTAAGGGTGGATGTGGAGGAGGCAGTGATGCTTTAAGCATTGAAATGATAAATGTCTGAATGTAAATTTTTAATTTGTATATGGCATTTTACATTTGTTATTATTATTTTCAATTCAGAATACTAAAACTTAATAATTTAAAAGAAGTTGTATATTTGTAAAATTGTTTATAAATAGTTTAAAGTAGAAAGATTTCTCACTTTGTATATAAAATTGTTTAAAGTAGAAAGATTACTTTCCAAATACAATAGATCCACTACAAACATCTACAAAGGTAGTCAATATCAAAATTCAAAAGTATTAATTACAATATTGTGTTTAATAAAAAGTAATATGACATGTTTTTGGATTAACACTTTTGAATTTTGATTAATATTTTTTATTAAACAATATATTGTAATTACTAATTAATACTTTTAAATTTTTATATGGACTACCTATATAGATGTTTGTAGTAGATCTGATGGATTTGGAAAGTAATCATTCTACCTTAAATAATCTTATATACTAAGTGAGAAATCATTCTACCTTAAACTATTTATAAATAATTTTGCAAATATACAACTTTTAAATTGTTAAGTATTAATATTCTGAATTGAAAACAATAATAACAAATGTGAAATGACCATATAAAAAGTAAAAATATACAAGCAGACATTCCTGATTTTAATTCTAAAAGCATCACCATCTCCTCTACCTCCACCCTTAAACAATATCATTAATATTATTTTTTTTCATTTAAATGCGTTTATATATATTATTAACAATATTAATAATAACAAGTTCAAAAAATTGTATTCTTATTTATATTTTTAATAATAATAATAATAATAATAATAATAATAATAATAATAATAATAATAATAATAATAATAATAATAAGAGTTTTGTTTACAGAAAAGTCTTAATATTTTTGTTTATAGAAAAGTCTTCATATTTTGGGTTAATTTACGAAATGGTCCCAAATTAATTTAGTACTGGTTACAACCGGTCAAAAAGTGTCAAAATGCAAAATTTATTGGTTTTTTTGGACTTTTTCGTACAAAAAAAGTATCGGGACTAAAGTATAACTTTTTCGTAAATATTAAAATTTTTTCTGACAATTTCCCTATTTGATTAGAACATCAAACTCATACTTTAATTATCATTTGAAGGTTAATGACCTAGGAGGGTAATAAGATTTTAACTTTGTCCACAAAAGGTCCTTAAGGGTTTTTTTTTTTTTTTTTTTTTTTTTTGTACATATTACATCAATATGCTTGTTATAAACCGTTTAAAAGGGGGATTTTAATTTTGTCCATATTAGGTTCGTAAGGTCTTTTTTTTTACATATTACATCAATATGGTTATTATAACCGTTTAAAAAAAATAATAATGTTTAATTGTGTCCACATTAGGTCCTTATTTTTAATATTTTTTATCATTTAATCTAACTCTTTTACAATTTATATTAGTATCTAGTTAGATGACTTCATCATTTCATCTTTTCATTTTAATCGCTCATTTACCACAACAATTTTTTCATTTCATCTCATCATTTCAATCGAAAGGTTACATAACAATTTTTTTTTTTCATTTTTATGAAAAAAACTAATAATAATTAAAGTCTTAATGATTAAGACTATGTTTGGCGCCATAGCTAACTTATAAACTAGTTCATTTTTCGATTTTTTTTAAGTTGACATGTTTGACAAACCAAAAAGTAGCTTATAAATTAACATTTTAAAAAGCTACTTAGACTAGTTTTTTTAAAAGTTTTTTTTTTTTTTAATTTCCAAATATATCTCTTAATTAATTAAGAAAACATATTTTTTAAATGACATTTTATGGCATTATATAAATTTCGGATAACTTATAAGTCAGTTGCAGAGCTAGAATCAAAGTAAAAAAGTATCACCGACAAGTAATGAGGTATTCCCGATAAGTAATTGCCTATCGGGGATTCCCAATTGGCGGAGCCATTACTTATCGGGGATATCCCATTACTTTTCAAGGATACTCTTTTACTTTGACCTTGCTCCGCCATTGGTTTAAGCAATCTTTTGATTGAAACCGTGGTTGTGGTGAATGAGCGACTAAAATGAAAATATAAAATGATGAAGTCATCTAACTAAATACTAATATAAATTGTAAAAGAGTTAGATGAAATGATAAACATATTAAAAATAGGGACTTAATGTGGACACAGTTAAATGTTATTACATTTCTTTAAACGGTTATAACAATCATGTTAGTGTAATATGTACAACAAAAGACGTTAGGGACCTATTGTGAACAAAATTAAAACTTTATTTCATTTTTTAAACGGTTATTACAACCATATTGGCGTAATATGTAAAAAAAAAATAATAATAATAATAAAAATCCCTTAAATTAAGTGAATAGTTTGACTGGTTTTGATATATTTAAAATTAAAATTTTTATTCTGTCTCTGGGGACGATACATTTGTAATGCAAGCAACTAACTACTATCACCAATTGCGAGACATGGTTGTCAACGGCGGAGACGACACCTTGAGTCTTTTTGTTGCCTTCGACAATCTTGAGTGGCACATATATGCAGATGCAAAATTGAACGACAAGAATTAATAACCAACAAAGAATAGACACGTCAACACATTTAATTGATATTCTCATGTAACATACTTCTTTTTATTCGTAGGTAACAATGACACTACACAATATTCGTAACCAAATATGGACAAGAATGACAAATGCTTATGTGACACTTGAAATTTTAATAGGAAAAAACATGACGGATCTAAATGCATGCATGATGGACTAAAAGTAAATATGAGAACCAGTCCACTATAGTCTACACAAATGTGTTTGTATCGACCAATTAACTTGTTCTCAGCAGCTTGAACCCCACTCCGGAAATCATCCGATTTCTCGTTTTCCCGGGAGGGACAGCCTTTATCGTCAATTTACCAACGGAATCTCGACCCGATCGTTCTTCTTCAAGAAACAACACAAAAGTATCGCGATGAGCAAAAAGGATCCGATAGCAATGGCTAGGATGGCACCGTTCGTGAGTTTCGTGGATGTGGGGCATTGATTCAACGGGGGCCCACATAAGTCCACATTCCCGGAAAATGAAGAATCCTGGAATTTTTGGAGGGAGAACGGGATTGGACCATTGAGTTCGTTATGGCTCAGGTTTAGGGCATGGAGATTGGTACAGTGGATGAAGTCGGGAACAGGTCCCAAAAGGTTGTTGAATTGGAGTCTGAGGGAGGTGAGATAGGTGAGATCTTTTAGTGTATCCGGGATTTTTCCTGTGAAGGAATTGTTGGAAAGATCTATCGCCATAATAATGGGAGAAACATTAGTAGGGATGTTGCCAGAAAGGTTATTGTTTTGAAGGTAGAGATTCTTGAGGGAGGGATTGGAGATGATATCAGCAGGGAGAGACCCGTTTAGGAAATTGTATCTTAGGCTCAAGACTTTGAGGGAACCCAGCTTTCCGATGGTATTATTCGGAATTGGACCGTATAGTCCCTTAGTAGGGAGATTAATGTCAGTAACATTGCCCTTCTCGTTACACTTGATGCCAACCCAATCTTTGCAGTTTCGGATTGTGGAACTCCAGTCTAGTTTGTGTGGCGGTGGGAACGACGAAGAGAATTTAAGAAGAAGCTCCTTGTCGACATTGCTGATGTCATTGTCAGCGGTTGTTTCATCAAGATTATAAAGTAGGAAGATAATGGTGGCAACCGCTAGAAATTGGAGGTTTTTCATTGTGGATATGTATATGTATGTCATGTCAACCTTCATAAATATAAAAAGAATTTGGAACTAAGAGTAAATATTATTAGCAAATGAAATTATGCAAAACGAAGGCTTACTTCTATCATTAATCACATTCCTGGCTAACAAGTGCAGACTGAAATTCTATGTAAACTAGAAGAATAAAGCAATAAAATTCCGATGAAAGGGAAGAAATGGTTGGTCGTTACCTTGCAAGAAATATGGAGGATGGAAGTGACTATGCCATAAATTTTTTTACCTTTTCATATGGGGAAAAGCAGAGGACAATTATTTTTAGCTTCAGCTTTTCCACTAGAAAGTGGAAGCTTTCGATTTCAAGAATAGACAATTTCAAGGACATAAAAAGAATCATTCCCGTAGAAACATATAAAAAGACCATCACAGTAGAACCTTTTTCTTATTATTATATTATATTATATTATATATAGCTGAAAGTCATGTAATTTTATATCTGCTAACAAGCACATACAGATGCCACGTCAGAATTCTGAATTATAATAACAAGTTCACTATGGAAGAACCAAATAACAATTTATGCACGTGGTCAATAATGTCCAGAGAGTACCAGTTGGTGTTTTGTTACCTTTGAGTAAAGTTAGGGATCCCCATAAAACAAAATGAATCTGATACGCTGCCACCAATCACATGGATAATAGGACAAGAACACATTTATTAGGATCCACAAATTAGTTATTAATTACCAAAACAAATTGGAAGTCTTTCATTTGATTTGTTGATACATACACAACATATGAAAATTCAATTCAATCATCATCACGAGAACGAGCTCTCGATAATTTTCTAACGAGCGATCTTCCTCGTGACTTGTTCTCTCTTCTGTGTGCATGAAAAGGAACAAATGCCCGATTTGGACAATTGCGTGCAATATAACCAGCAATACCACAGTTAAAACATGTCTGTTTCTTAGCATAAAAACTAGTACCACTCTTTTCTGGTCTATTATTCTTATTGACTCTCTTACTCTTCCCACAATTGCATTTGCAAGATTCAGGTTGTGTGACAGGTGTAGGTGAAGTGGATGTACTTGTGACAGAAACATCAGATTTATCAAATACATCACCACACTTAACAAAAACAACTGGATCATTAGACTTTGACACAAAATCATCACAAACCAAAACATCAATTTTAGAGTTAGAAACAAAAACATCAATATTTGAAATAGAAACATCAGATTTGGAAACACTATTATTATCTGACACACACTCTTCTGCTGTCTGCTTGCCCTTACTTAAAGGTGAATCTGCATAGGAAGTATAAGCATTAATATCCTTTTCCCTAGCACTACTCTCCGTCACAGATACAACAGGCTTGCCATACACAAGAAATTCCTCTCTGTCCATCTCTTCATGGGTCAAAGGGATAGCAGTGTAATTGTGATTAAAAGGAGGAGGGACACACTCATACCCTAGACCTACTTGTTTCTTGTCTTTCCATCTCATTTGTCTCTATCATAGTCTCAACTTTCTCACTTGACACATCAAACTTTTTAAAGTTAAAATCAACATTTTCAAAACAAACTTTTAATGTGTCAAGTTCTTCAGTCACAGTGACAAGTTGTTTCTTAATAAAATTGTAGTTCTCACACTTGTTGTTGTACTCTTCTTGTAATTTCCTGAAGTCCTTAGTTTTGGCCTCTAATTGTTCTTTTAGTGGTCTTTGGCCCTTCTTAAGGTTATATCCCTCATACTTTAGGTCCTTGTTCTCTCTACGCAATAATTCTATCTATTCACGTAAAAATTTAACAGTATCAATACATGTTTGAGAACAAGAATTTTGACTGACCTCTTTCTTTTCAGGCTCAGGGGTAGTGGATACTATGAATGGAAATTGCAACTCCACCATCTCTTCTTCAGGATCAACTTCAACTTTCTCCTCAAGGATGTCACTGATCTACGCCAAATGAGCATTTTCAGGTCCTGAGATGTTTAGGGCCTGAATTTGATCCTCCCAATCAAAACTGAGCTACCACCGCTAGATTCGCAGTTTCATTGTCGGCAGCAACCCCGCTGTTGTTTCCCACCGGCACCATTGTTGTAACGTCCGTAGATCCGGGCTAGTCAATTTAGAGATAACACAAAAGATTATTTAGAATAAATAATCTTAACCAAGCTGTAGAATATGTCTCAAGGGTTCCGTACATACAAAGAACGCCGAAATCCGAGTTATAACGAAGAAACTATGGCCTGTCGAAGTTTTACGGCAAAACCGGCACGACACCGACAGATGTAAATAGTGAATTTATGATGGTGGACTTCTTAGCCTTATCGGTCCAAATAAAAGTTGTAGTATATGTTAAACCTAGAACATACAAAAAAAAGAACACCCAAATCTAACTTCGTATGAGGAATTTATGAATTTTCTAAGATTTAGCATAGCAGTGCACGACCCGAAACTCAAATTTTAGTTCGAGCGGTTTTTGGCCTACGCGACCTAAATGAGAATTGAAGATCTCATTAATAGGAACTCAACGGTAAAAAGACAGACAAAAACAGAGTCCATATGTAGAAGTTATAAATTTTACGCGGACATTTAACAGTATAATCTCCTCGTACTTTTAAATTTAATATCGGTCAAGAATTAGCCGACGGAGTCAAAATGAAAGTTGTAGATCTTATTTTTACCTACGCGTGGATATAAAGAACGTCAAAAACAGAGGTCGTATGTGAAAGTTACGAATTTTAGAAGTCAGAAGTGTGTTGTGCGAAAATAGGTGATGTGACACAATCTTGATCATTGCTTTCTCCCCAAGTCTTGCCACTAGATGGTGACATGTGGCACCAATTTCTACCATTTTCACCCTATAAATAGAACCTCTCTCACCTTCACTTTCTTCACACCTTTCCCATTCTTTCTTCTTTTTACTCTCACTCTAGAACCTATCTCTAGCCCCAACCCCCCCCCCCCCCCAAAAAAAAAAGTCTAGGGAACTTCCCTAGCATGAGAATGAAGCCCCGGAGCCCCCGACGGCTCCGACAACAAAAGCTTTCGGCCCGGAAACGCTGCTCCAGTGAAGCCCGGTTTTCTATAAAACCCGTTGTAAGTGAGCTACGCGTACACTATTTTTAATATAGCTTTTATTTAATTATAGTAACGTTATTAGGAACTTATAATAAGTACTTGGGCTATTATTATGGGTTATATAAGTATTGTTTAACGCTTATATAATAGTAATAATAGCTAGACTATTAATTAGTGTCGGCGAATAATAGACTAAACTCTAGTCGTAATAATACTAGGTTTCGTTGAAGGAAATTATTTTTAAGAAGCGAAGCGCTGTCTGAGTTCGGAATCACCACCTTTTCAAGTGAGTGCATAGTCCCTTTCATGAACATGATTTTAATACAAGTATTAATTAAGGTATTAAATGTACGTTAAAGAGTTTATGTGTGAGTGCATAGTCCCTTTCATGAACATGATTTTAATACAAGTATTAATTAAAGTATTAAATATACGTTAAAGAGTTTATTTGTGAGTGCATAGTCCCTTTCATGAACATGATTTTAATACAAGTATTAATTAAAGTATTAAATATATGTTAAAGAGTTTATGTGTGAGTGCATAGTCCCTTTCATGAACATGATTTAAATACAAGTATTAATTGAAGTATTAATTATATGTTTATGTGCGAGTTAATTGATGTTGCCTGAAATACGTGTTAAAGAACATATCTGATTATACATGATGATTTAGGATAAAGAGTAAACCTAAATTAATTATGAGGAATATTGGGTAGTATTTTCTTACGAGTACGAGTGAGTTATACTCAGAGAATAGAACTTTAGTATATGTCATTAATCTGGGAGCATGGATTAGACATAGTCATTATCCCTAGTCCGAGAGTATGGATTGGACATAGTCAACTATCATTAATCCAGGAGTATGGATTAAGACATAGTCAATTGTCCTTAGTTCGAGAGTATGGATTAAGACATAGTGAGTCGCCCTCAATCAGGGAGTATGGATAAGACATAGTCATTCGTCGTTAATCCGAGAGAATGGATTTACACATAGATACTTGTCCCTAATCCGAGAGTATGGAATAGGCACAATTATTAATTCGAGAGCATGAATTAGATCTGAGAGTATGGGTTAAGTAAGAGGTAAAATTTAAGGTCCGAGAGTATGGATAGTCTCGTTGTAAGGATTAACAGGGTATGGTAAGAGTTGCTTATATATATATATATATATATATATATATATATATATATATATATATATATATATATATATATATATATATGATATAACATTGTGGGATTGAAATCCTTATGTACTCACCAGGTTTTCCAACCTGACCCACTCCAGCTTATTTGTATCACAGGTGTCTATATGAAGTTACATTACATTGAGAGATTAAGGAGATGTAAATTGCTAGTGATAATGAATGTAAGTTATGTTTATGCTTATGTTTCTGTATTGGCGATGAGATCCCAATGTTTTAAAATAAATAAAAAATACATTTCTTCGGAAATGCTTTGATAACGTATTTATCATGTTTTTCTGGGAACAAATTCCGCAACATTTTTATAAAAAGGGTACTCTGATTTTTATAAAGCATAAACAAAATCGGTCTTTTCTGGCCGTGAAAATGAGGATGTCACAGTTGGTATCAAAGCATTAGTTTAAGCAAACTAGGAATTTGTAGGAAATTTCTAGACTTAAACTTAGAGTGCTAAGAGATGATTGTGAGATGAGTGTCTGCTATATTTTAGACACAAACACTAGTTTATTTTAGGAAAGATGCCTAAAATGTTTTATGTGCTAAATGTTTTATGTTATAGCTATAAAGATGCCTTATATGCTATTATTTGTTCGGATCCATGGTCTGTTGCCTACCGGATCTGGAAATTTTATGTGTTCAGCTTTCTAAACGTTTAATTACGATATTAGAACCCGCATATAACTTTTCGGTGTGACAAGGAGATTTATACGTCTATCGTAAATAAAACTTTTCCTATCTTAAAATTCTCGCCTCGGTACACCAAACGTCTGCTTGGGTGTACAAAACGTCATGGTGAAGACATACTAGGAAATATCCGAGGAAGATGACAACCTGAGCCTAAGAATGTGATGGGTCAGGCATCGGTCGTTGCGCGTGTACTCGAACCTATCACAATGGCAGAAGTTCAGGAAGTGATGCGAGCCATGATAGACTGAGAAAATAGAGGAAATGAGATGGTTTACGATAGTGAATAATACCTATCGGAAGATATCATAAGAGAGGTATCTTGCCTTTAGAATACGTCTGATAAAATAGCAGTATGTCTAGAGAAGTACGGTACATCTGAATGTACACATTT